TTCAACAAATCACATTTTTAATAGCTTTTTAAATATTTAACACACACACACACACACACACACACACACACACACACACACACACACACACACACACACACACACACACACACACACACACACACACACACACACACACACATATATATATATATATAACATTCTTTTATTTTAATAATGAGATGTGTAATTTATAATGTATTTTCTATTCAAATTATTTTATCAAATTAATTATGTTTCATATTTTGTTATGAATATCTTTATAAAGTTTCGATGTGTTTTATTTTTCCCTCATATCCAACAATATTTACAACTATATTTCTTAGGTATTTTTTTTTTTAAATTATCTCTTTTGTTTTAATGTTTCGTCTTTACTAAAAAAAATTTCTAAATCCGTCCCTACTTCGCCTCCCCCCTCCCCCAACCAAATTTCTGGCTCCGTCCCTGATTATGTTTTATATCTTAAAGAAAATACAAAATGAGTGGCTGAGTGAGCGGAACATAATTCTTATATTAAAAGTCACAAATTTAATTCTTGCTAATTAATACTTTCTCATGCGAGCTCATGACATACGATCTTTCTAGTGTTATTAACTTTTCCTGTATGATTTGTGCAAACTCTCCCGTAATAGTTTTGGACTTCAATTCCCTCTTCATTCAGAAAGAAAATAAATTTATTAAGACTCTTTCTAGAAGAATTTATAATCTTCTTTATGTCTATATAATGAAGAATATAATCATGTCTTTAAGAATTAATATCTATATCAACGTTTGTGTGTGGGGAGGGAGGGGGGAGGGGGTATCCAAAATAGTACAAGCAAGTGGACCACGCAGTGCGCACAAAATATAAATCGTATATATTATGAGGTACGTGGGTATAGTAGGGCAGACATATATGGTTATAGGGTGTGGATATGATATATAAGAATGCATTAAGGTTTAGGTCAATTTCTGGTACCCTAAGAATCAGCTTCTCAATTCTGATTCACAACCACTATTATATTGTCTAGTACATAGGCCTCATGTAGCATATATATGGCCTGAGCTGTGCCACCAAACAAATATGCTATTAATAATCAAACATCTACATCTCATTCATATAGCTGTTGTTATTTCTTCTTCTTTAAGACGGATCTAGAAATCTTCGTCAGTGGGAGCGAAAGATTAAAAACCAACAGTGAGATATTTTTTTTTTTTAAAAAATACTTAAAGCCAAGTCGTCAATATTGTTGATTAGGGATGAAAAATGCATAATCAGTCAAAAATAAAAAATCATATACATACATTGTCATCTAAGCTAACTCATCCTTCGGTTAAATTTATGTAAATTTAATATTTATAAGTTATCTATCTATATACAAGACGTCTATACATACAATGTATATAAAGGGATGGGGGTGGAGGAATTGGGGCAGTTGCCTCCACGGTAGATCCGCCAATATATAGTAGAGATTTATCATTTCAACCCAATTGAGGAATTGACAAATGAAAGTAGAGATCATGGAATATTATAAATTAAAATAGCTTAAGAATATCTATTGACAATATAAGACCTTATATTATTATACCCCCTTTTTAAAAAATAAAAATTCTGCAAATCTTCTTTAATTTGAATCTATCTTTGGATAATCCTCTGCGCGCTGATCTAACCTTGATTTGAATCCTCCTATGAATAAGATTCCTAGAATCTTGTTATTGTCGGCTGCCTGGATCGGATACCTGGGAACATCCATCTTTTGTTGCAGTAGCGTAGAAATTCTATTGTGGACACCTGACGGCTGCTTGCATTGTTTACAAGCTAAGGATTATATACACTAATATTTTTTCTTATTTTAACGGTGGAAATTAAAAGTTAAAATCTTTTGGGAGAAGAAATATAATTAGTGGTAGATTGTTTGTAAATTAATGAATCTTTCATAGGTCGTGTATGTTTATTAATTGTAAAAAGAATTACTCCGTAGAGGTAGTGAATGGGTGGCAAATAGGTGAAGTATAATATATTATTGTATATGAAAATTTATTTAGTACGATTTATTTTTTCAATTTTTTTGGGTGTTATGTGGTTAATGATTATTGTAAATTATTACACAGAATGAGAAATATGATTTACCTGACACATATTCAATTCTAATAAGATAGTGGTAATGGTTTGAGTCCGACCTATTGGGATTCATCATTTTTGTTGTGGATTTAGGAGATCAAAATTTATATAGTTTTGATTTTCTTCTTAGTATTTTAAAAAAAAAAAAAAACATCATTAAAAGTAGTGATAAATTAGAGTATTCTAATTAATCAATTGACTAAAAAGTTTACTTTATTTGTATCAGAGTATGAAACTTTTTTTTTTTGTATGTAACATTTGGTATTTTTACCACTGAAGACTAATTTATAATATGCTTACCAATTGTCTTAAATTGTTAGGTTGAATGGAAACATCTTTAACAACCTTGAATTATAGATCTCGTTTCTTTTTCTTTTCTATTTTTTTTTTGTTGATATTAACGTTGAACATATATTTTTAAAACAAAAGTAAAATAAAAAAAAATCTATAAAAAAAAAAATAAGAAGAGAAAAGTTAAAATATATTTTCCATAATAATAATAATAATAATAATAATAATAATAATAATAATAATTAAAGTGGTGTCCATTGTTGAAAGCAAATTGGTTGGTGAGGCTATAAGCCTATGTGTCGGATTTTTGCTGCCTAAAGTTTGGTGCAACGCATTAACTCACTAACGTAATGGAGAATAAGGATGCACTCTCGCTATTCTTCTTTTAAAAAAAATATATTTTAAATAAATATGTAATAGATCAGTAATTAAATTATTTATGACTAATTATGTAAAATAATTTAAGACCATACATTATAATTATGAAAGATAATAACTCATAATTTACTCTAATTTGCTTATTGGTTATTATTAAATAAAAGACTAACTTTTTTTAATGACGTGATAGACAAAACATTAATCCAAAATTTTGATTTTTTTTTCTCTTAGCTTCCCATACAAAGTTATAAGATGAATTGTTATGAACTGAGATAAACAATTCAACATGTATATTAAAAATTATAAGTAATACGAATACGAATCATTATTTATTTACTTTGCCAACTAAAGTTTTATATTAGACATATAAAAGATACAAATGTTGAACGAGCAGATGAAGCATAATTCTCATATATGAAGATCACGAGTTAGATTCTTTACAAACACTCCCTCAGTTAAGCTTGTGCGAACTTTGATCTTTTTTACCGAAATACTGCTTACTGAACCAGTGAACTGAGCTAAGTCTGTGTGGACAAATTAGCGTCTAACTTGTCTATAAGAGCGACCACTTTAATACTTTTAGAGAAATTCCCAATTGCTTAGTGATTACAAATTTTAGAATACCCAAGTTGCACTTTTATAAAAAGGGTGACATAAGAGTTTGCCTAGTTTGAAGGAGTATGTAGGGATACACAACAAAAGTTGTTGATTTTAGACTTCTTCAACTACGGGCGTGCATGCTTTATCTGTGTTGTCTCTCCTTCATTTAAAGAACTTTATTAGATCTAGAAATTTCTTGTAAAATTGTAATTGTACATATATACATGGTACGTACTAAAATCATGTGTATATAAACTATGAGTTCATGGAGTCCAGAATATAAGGACAGGTTCATGAGATCTAGGATATAGTTCGTCCAGGTCAGAAACCACTGAACATATGATTGGTGATTGAGGTAGCTAGTGGCTTAAATGCTTAATTGTTGAGTGGTGGAAGTGAAAAGCAATGACGTAGGATAGATGTACAAAGTGAATGATGAATCCTCCAAATGGAGAGGAATCTGCAAAGTGAATCTTTGACCAACAGATAGATGAAGGTGGATATACATATATATGCATGTCTTGGTGTTTTCTTGGTAAACCTACGAACAACATGCATGGTGTGGCTACTAGGATTTCAATTATATATGTTGTTCACCATGTTTTTGGGTTTGTTTTTTGATTGATTGATGGATATGAATCATATGATCATGATCATCTTGTAGCATAACAGTGTCAAATTTTATGGCTTGGTAAATGTAATTAGGGACTTTAATTAGAGCTATTATGTATTGTGCCACTTTCAAACTACAATTATTCAAAGCTTTTAACCATGCATGATCCATTTCATCATCGTTTTGGCTTCTTAATTATGCCAATAATAATGATACCCCCAAAAATGCCCCTTTAGGTTATTTATATTATATGTAGGTGAAATTCTTTCTTGCTTTATGACTGCTCTTTTGTTCCCTAGCTAACACAACAATTTTTGCTTGTGCTTCACCAAAATAGGTGCTGCTTTTATATATAGGCCATTGTTCATGTGAATCCACCCCGTTCGTGTGGACAGATCTGGGCCATTGAATACTTGAGATCAATGGTTTAGATTTCGCCAACTGTGCAACTGCTGGTAGCTAGTGTTGGTGCACACAACACACACAAACTTGCATCTTTTTTTAGAAGCTCAAAAATCAATAACAAAAACTCATTGCTAAAGTTGTTCTGATAATGGTGTAGGAGGCCTATCATCCACCAAAACCAGACATTAGTGCTAAAAAGCCCAACAATTGTTATAGAAAGTATTTAATTTCTTACTTGATTATTTTAGGCCTTTGGGCTCTCGTGTAACCTTGGATCACCCAGCAAGGGAAATTCTATAGCAAGGTAGCTTCTTGTCTATTAATAAACATTGTACCTATTTGTCTATAGGGACATTAACATCTGCCATTTCTATAGGGAACATGACACAATCACCAACCACCTTGCTAAAATAGCTACTAGGGGGAGATCATGTCCCAACATTGTTGATTTAGTAACCATAAAGTTACAAATTTGAGAATAACATATGTGCTTTCCCACACCGCCAAATTTTCAGTAGACGTTACTCATATTTAATATCCCGGTTTATGTTAGGCCAACCCTAATAAAACCAAAGACAACCATATTTGGCATCAAGAAAAAACATTTGACACTTTAGGAAGGCAAAGTTTAAGGAGGATAGAATGATGATCAGAATATCAGAATATACATTTGAACAGCCCACACAACATCCAACTGGTGGGTGACATGTTCAATCAAACTTAGGAAGCTAAGTCCAGAAGGCTTCCAACATTTCTAGTCAGTCAAATGTTATCTACATAATATATCTACCCCTACAAGACACCTGAGAAACTCTCTATAACCTAAACTTACAAAACCCTAGAAAAGCAAAAACAGGAAGGATAAACAGCAGCATTCAGTATATACTGACATTATAATACGGATAATATATATATAATACTTCTGCAGATACTTCTGTTAGTGTCAGGAACAAGATCGCCCATTCATAACTTCCTCGACTTATTTGCAGACCGTCTTCAGCCTCTTCGCCGCCTGAACAAACCCCACCACCACTTGCAGCTCGTCCAATTGCTTCACCCACAAAACACGCACATTTGTTGTTAGCAAAACGAGGTTTCAAAGCTAACGTGTTTAAGGACATGAAAAACGGATCGAGTGTGAAATACCTGTGACATAAAATGCCTCTGGACAACATCGATTAGTTGCTCTTTTGAAGGGTTAGGTATGGCATCCACCTAAGTAGTAACGGGGGGGAGGTTTAGAGAACGTGCTAAAATCAATTAAGAATACATATGAATCTCCGAGCATTTGATAATAATAACGAACTCACTAGATTAAAGTGTTGCAAGTATCTCCACAGTGCAGTCATCTCGAGTTTGCTCAGGTCAACTTTCTGCACGAGCAATAGTTTTAGTACAACAGTATTGAACTTTATACATAAAGCTATTGTTTAAATTGCCCGTACCGTGGATCTCCTAGGAGCCGAAACAGATCCTTTGGACTGCTCATCACATGAAAGAGTGCGGCACAGAGTCTTGTGAGACGACCCAGATGATTTATGCATGCGATACCTTGATCTATGGGACTTTTGAGTGTCATCGGATGCTAAAGAATGCCAAATACATATAATAAGTGGCATGCGAGAAGGAGAGAGACAGAAATGATTGGCATAATCCACTTTATGAAATAGAAATTTCGAGGGAAAATGCAGAAACTAGAATCTATCTGCAGAAAGTGATACAAAGTAGGATTGCAAACTTCATTACTCACCCATATCTGAACCATTCCACTGGAAATTTTCAAATTCAAGGTCATCATCATCCTCGTTTCCAGTAGGAGCTTCGATCACACTCAATGCATTTCTTTGCAGCTTTACCTCTATGCCATTTGTAAGTACCTATAGTTTTAGCATGCCAAACAGTTATCTGCGTTGGACTCCAGTAAATATTAAAGAGCATATCAAGAATCAAGAATGGGCTATAAAATAGTACCCGAGTTTATAGAGCAAAGAAAAGTAGCAACTTATCAAGATTTGCTTGGAACAAAAAAAAGGAAAAAAGTGAAAGACTAAAGAACAAATCTTGAACAATTAAGTTCTTATACATAATTTGGTGCAACACAAAGGAGCTGGCCTGGCCTTCCAAGGAAAGAACTATATGTGATACATCCATCAATTAATCAATCGGGTAAGACAGGTCTTATACAAAAACCACTCGAACAGCGCTCAAGAACCAATGGTGTGAGGATTTAACCTCAACAAGGATGGAGACTATGAAAGACACAATCAAGACAAGCAACAAGAGTGGGAAACCCCAACGAACCAAATTGGTCAGGCTGTTGACTGGGTAACAACTCAACTCCCATAGAGTTGCCTATTAGCCTTTTTGGTTTGAGTACGTGAGATATAGGCAATCTAAATTGATTTTTCTCCGGCTAGAATCCCAAAACAGAGTTTACCCGGTGCATACCTCTAGAGTCTTAGAGAAGTGGTTGCGGTTTTCCTAGTCACCCAAAAATAAAGACTAGCAACAAGAGAGAGCCCAGACTAAAAACAGACTGCAAAAAGAATCAATCAAGTTCCCACATCATTGACTACAAGAAAAGCATTTTCATAAAATTGATTAACAAACCTGCAATTTTAGAAAAGCACACTAAACTATAAATCCACTGAGAAAAAAAGCAAACCCTTGACCACTTTCCAGTACCTATATTAAGGGCTAAAGTAAAAACAAGAAATAGAAATGCAAAATGCACCATAATTGCAGAATCTGAAATCACAAAACACTATAATCTACACAAAGAGACAACACATGAAATTAGAAACAGAAAACTGGAAACCAACATTCACATTACTAAAGAATCAAACTTTGGAAGCAAAATTACCAGCCAATGCCATCCTCCAAGCCCGACAGCCTTCTTGACCACACCCTGAAGCCCGACAAGCACCGACTTCGTACGGTTGTTTCCCGTGACAACCACCTTGGTGTGACGTGGCAACACCGAGAGCTCCTCCTCGCTGCTCTCCCCACAGCTCTGCAACTGCGCGAACCCACCAACCCCATGCACCGAGCTAGCCTCCACCGCCGTTGCATGCATCATTGATTTTCTTTCCCCGCCCAACTCGGCTCGGAAAACTCGCCGGAATTTCAAGAATTCAGCCCAAGAAAACGGAGTGGGCAGAAAGATCACGCATTGTAGAGGCGGATTAGATGGGTGAATCGCTGAATTGAGAATTTCTAGAGCGAGAAAACACAAATTCAAGTAGAGACTAGAGAGAGAGAAAAAGAGTGTGTGTGTGTGTGTGTTTGTTTTCTTCTTTCTCTTTCTTCTTTCTCAATTGATGAGGGATGGTGCTTTCACTGCAGCCGGCTACTGATCCCGAGGAAATGAAGTGGACCAATCGCGGAACGCCACGTAGGAGAGAGAACACGTCAATCATGCATTACAAAGAGAGGGCTTGCTTCTCGGCCATGATGTATTGCCCACTTTCTGAATATAGAGAGAGAGAGAGAGAGAATTGGGCTGACCGTTTTGACTGGTGTGAAAATGGACCCCTGCTAAATTACGATATTGCCCCCAGCGTTTTCTGACGAGAAAAAGGGCAGGAAAGTCAAAAAGGACAGACGTTACGAGAATGAGAAACTGTAAGGAAGGCGCGGAATATGCAGAGGGCCCCACGTGGACGAGGAGGTTTACCTGCCGGTCCCACGTCGAAAGAGAACCTTAATCATTAATAATATTGTCCCATTATCTATTTATTTACTAATTATCCGGTTTTTTTTTTTAAATTTAAAATTCAATTATCCATAAATAAAACAGTAATGGAGGACAAATTACTCACGTCCATGTCTAGTCTTTCAGGGTCATAAACCCAACAATTTTATTTATTATCCAAAATCCAAATACAAATTTGAAAATGCTAATATTTATTACTTTTACATTTAATATCCAATAATAACAGCGCATAGTTTTAAAGTTATCAAATATTTATTCTGAACTATTAGTTAACCTATGTAGTGTTCCTGCCATAACTGAGGAATGTGCACCGTCGATCTGTGATGTCCGGTTTCCTGCTGTTAGATTCTGTCGACCTGGATTAGTAGCTGGTGAAAAAAAAGGATATGTTTAGCAACATGAAATTTTTTGTAATTTTTAAAAATTAAAACATAAAATAGAAAATTAATTTTTTGTTCAAATTATTTACTTTTCAGGTTTAACAATAAAAATTGCACAAAAAAATTAGACTTGAAAAACCATTCCTATCAAAATTAAATCAGATCATTTTATCTTAAATCACAACAATATATCTATATGAATATGATTAATGTTCCTAAATCGAATTGTTTAATGTTTTAAGCATGGTTCCAGTTAACTATGCGGTCCAATAGAAAAAAGTTGTGTTCTCGTGCTGGCTATAATTTGAAGTCACTTAAATATGTCATTTGACTAAAATTATGTTACGTGAAACACTGAAACATATTATAGTGACCAGAAAGTAATTCAGTTTAAGTTGTTTATCTGAGTGACTCAAATCGAAACGTCTCTCATAAAGAATTGAACATTAAACTTTGTGGTTATCAAACCAATTGACAACAAACTCAATTGAATTCATCTCCAACTATATTGATACTTAGTCATCATATACAAAGTAACCTCAATATTCCTACTTGTTACACATGAAATCTGTATTACCATGATACATATTCATCTTATCTTACTTAATACATAAGTATGATGAAAACATATTAAAGTGAATGTAAATGATAAGGTGTTGACTAAATTGTAAGAGGTTTGAATCACTTAAATATATGATATACGGAGTATTTCTTAGTAGGTTTTATTACATTATTAATTTATTGAATACCACAAACAAAAAGAAATGTAATACAATTACGTCCACAATGTTATTTATAAAGAGGTACCTTATATCCCCGGGACGTCAAAATATTGAAGTCTCAAATGTTGGGACTCAAAGTAAGACAACATTAAATATGTGCATCTATTATTTTCATGATATATATATAATATATGTGACAAAGAAGAATCTCATTCCCGACGTATTTGATATATAAAACCTATATGCACTTAAACTATATGGTCCATTTATTATTATTATTATTATTATTATTATTATTATTATTATTATTATGCATGAAACCAACGAATTATCACTTTTTTTATTATTTCCTAACATGACAAACAATTATTTAATGATTATTAGTAGAGGCCAAAGAAGTGTGCGTTATTGGACAGGACTGTGCCCGGCTGCCTGCCCGCCAACCTCCATCATTGTCCAATTACCCATTGTCCACTTTGGAAAATGATAGTTTTTGGCGGGAAACTTTGTCCCATTTTATTTTATACATCAAAAGGAAACAAATTCTGTATTTTTATTTCATAAAAATGAAATAAGAATCATCCACTCTGTATAGTCTACTCATATACTTTGAATATACATATACCAAAGTGGGCTGAGGTAAGTATGACAATTTTTTTCTCATCCCTTCCTGCCTCTTCCTGGTACATTAATTTTTAATATATATATTTTGAAGAAATTATGAAGAATTAAAGATGTAAATACTATATTACGTAGTAGTATTTAATTTTTTTTACTTATACATTAAAGATGGTATTAAATTATTAATTTTAACCATAGAACGGACCAGAAAGCATGAATTTTTGCCTTCAAAAATTTCACGCGAGGACAAAAAACGAAAGAAAATTTTTAATTCCCCAATGAGATTAGGGATGGGGTCGTGGACTCATGGCGACAGGGAGTATACTCTCAGCCCCCCACCTTATTGTCATCCCTAGGATGAGGGTGCTAAAAGGCCTAAAAGTTCTATCCTTATTAGACTAGACTAAAGATAAAATGAGTGATAAACGTAAAATAATAAATGAGTGTGCCGATCTACATCAAACCACTCATAATTCTAATATAATACTCCGTATATCTTAGATCATAAGATATAACTCATATACTATAATGTGTGTAGAAAAAAGAAGGGATTTCCAAAGATGCATAAAACTTTCACAAGATTGTAGAGAAAGTAGTAAACTAGTAACAAGTTGTCAACTATTGAAGGTGAGACAGATACAGATCAATCTTGAATCATATTTAATATTCAATAGTTATGTGAAGAAATAATCAAAGATTTATACACAAGACAACTACCAATATAAATAACACAATGCATCCTGGGCAATGTTTTGTCTTTCTCAAGAGGAGCTAAAAATGCCAGTGCTAACTGGCACAAAAACGTTAACATATGACCATATCAATAACTCCTTTCTGGTTATATATCTGTGTCAACACATGATGTCCAAATCTGTGTCATTCATCACTAAACTCTGTCTCCTACTCTTCTCGAGCTCATATGAGTCAAATGCTGTGTTATGGTAGTCATTCCTCACTTCTGCACACCATGCTTACTTAACTAGTCCCTCCGTTTTTTTCTTCTTTTTTTTTTTCCTTTTTTTTTTGTTTTTTGTTTTTTTTTTTGTTTTTTTGTTTTTTTGGATTTTTGGGGTTTTTTTTTTTTTTTTTTTTTTTATTTCTATAATATGGCACTCATATATCTCTACTGTAGTAAAGAGTTGTATATATCTATCTATATCTATGTTCACACTCTCATAAAATATGTATATATATATATATGATCATAGATGCTGAATACTAATAAATTAGAAAGGGAAGAAGCAGAAGTACTTCTTAAACTTCTTCTTTCTGTGCCTGCTGGAAGAAGCATTAGATGAGTCTTCATTTCTAGATTCTGGCTTTGGCCTCTTGACATTTGGATCCTTGAGAGCTTTATCTGAAGATTTTGATTTGGTGGATGAAGTTGGTCGAGTCTGGACTTGTGGTTCATTTGTACCAGTCCCGGTAATCATCAATTCTGAGAATAAACAATTCAAAGTTTGTTCAGTGTGAATGAAAAGCTGATAATTTGGAAATGAATACATTTCCCATGAAAGGTCAAAGCAATGATCATAGAAGAGGTGCATTATGATATACCTGATGTGGTAGGCGGCAATATCACTTCATTCGGTCTCCCGGATCCCATGTAATTGCAATGGAAGCCCGAACCCTTAGCCTGCAGATCTTGACTTTTCTCATCATCCAGGAGAAGGCCAAAAAATTCATCAGATTTCCGATGACTTGAATTTGCTGAACTGGAAGAATGGGATGCCAATTCTGCAAGATCATTTAGTTCCAGGTAGTCGCCTCTTAAAATGGTATCAGCAAGATCTACATCAAGGGGGTTTTCAGGTTTTTCAACCACAGGGGATTTGCTAATGTCTTTGTCAAGATCGGCCAATTCCAAGAAGCCATCATACAAAACATCTTGGTCAGATGGATGCTCAACCCTGCAGGTTTCTGGTGACTGTCCAATGTCTCCTTCAAGATCATTCAATTCCATGAAATCATCGCTTGAAACATAATCACTTTTGGACTCAACAAAGAGACTTTCAGTTCTGTGAACCTCAGGTAACCTAGTGCTGACAGTGTTGCTCTTCGTCTACAAACAGAGAATAGCCTTTGAAAATTTAAAGATAGATCCTAATACATAAAGTAGAAAAAAAAAAAATAACAAACACCATTTAGTGCTTTGACAACAAACTATAATACCTACTAATTTGATCATAAAAGTGCAAGGAATGGCTAACTAGAAACTTGTTATTTCATAGCACGATGCAATCAAACAAGACAACTATGAACTATATCATACAGATTAATGTCACTTGAAAATTTGATTTGAAATCTCATCAATCATATCATCATATATTAGATCTCAGACAGATAAGTATGCAGCTTCTGACAAGAAAACCAAAAATAATCATAGGGAAGGGGGCGGGGGTGTTAAAAAGGGGGATCATCCAGCACTGACCTGAGATTCCGTAGAGGAACCTCTGCCTGAAGTACTGGTAGTATTAGGAACAACTGACAGAACCAAATTGGAGAAACTCCCACTAGCTTTGATAATTCTACACAGCACTCTAGACTGCTGCAATATAATCACACAGACTGGCTTGATTGGCTGGTTGGTCAAAATAATAACTAATGCAGAAAAACGGGAATAAGCATATGTTGTGTCAATATATACCTTCTGGGTGTCTTTGTGTGCTCCCTTTCGGGTTATGCTGTACTCTTGCATAACCCACTCAGTTTTCAATCCATAAGGAGCACGACCTTTGAAAAATTCCAGATTAGTTCTCCATCCCTTAATATCAGGATTTTCAAAGATCTCACAAGCATCCCCTTTCACGGCCCAGAATCCACCATCTTCAGTCTCCTTTGGCCCAGTTGAGTTTACTAGGTACCATATATCAGCTGCATATATCACAAATCAATATTCAATATAAACATAACAACCACTAGTTCAAGGGAAGCAGATAACAGTTCAAATGGAACCTGATCTAAAATTTGTAAATCACAAAACTATTCAAGAT